GACTATATATGCGTAGGCTTTCCAAATTTCAAGGTAATCTCAAGGTATAATAATAAAGACCAGGAACGATGCTTTTAATCACTATAGCTCCGCTTGAAAGCGTGCGGACAATGCTAGTATAACAGGGCACACCCAGCTCCACCTATTACAGCGCGTGCGCGACACCACACGCCTTCTGCCGAGCCAGCAGAAAGGTTTATCGCAAGTACCTGCAGGATGAATAAAAAAGTTGGCCCAGTTATGTCATCAAACTTAAATGGCAACTATATGGGGAAAGGGAAGGAGCGTTAGGCCTATACATGTACAATATGAATTTTCCAACGCTAACCTCAATGAAATATTTCTGTGCTAAACATTGCGACGAATCAAAATAACGTGTTCCCTGACATATCCATACAACATTCAGGAATAGCAATAGAATTTAACAACGTGTCCTGACCACCATTAGATCAGGACGGGCTTTGTTGTTCACCTAACCATGATAAATTGGACAATGGGTGTGGGCAGAGTGAAGAAAGAACCTTGACTATTCTCTTGACGCTCCTTGGGGTAATACACGAAGACGTGGATCCCGGAGCGTACACCAGAAGTTACACGACTCTGATCGCACACTTACGGCAACAAAAGTGCCCCCCCCCTCCAATGATTTATCCAAGCGGGCGAGAACGACCAGTATGAGTATCTGAAGATGGATATTAAAAAGGTGCAGCTGTATTTCATGTGTACCTTTGTTGTCTTGAATGTTGCAGGCATCATCAAAGCGCAATTCGGTGGTGAGTGTACTTCACTGGTTAATCAATGTACATGTATTTAGCTTTTTATACATCTTTCCTTGACGTGTGACCACGGTTGTCAAGAAGTTTCTTGTGAAATAAACCAACGGAGGACTCAAACATCCTGACGGGAGCCCCTTCCCTTAGCCATGGCTAGCCATTGCTATTATGCCGATGATATCCGATATAAAGAACTTTGGCTTACACGGTATTTCAAGTCTTACGAAAGATTAGATGCAAAACATGCGATCCATGTTCATTAAAGCAGATCCGATTTTCCAACACAAAGTTTTGAACCTCGCTTCAGAGTTCTTGAATTTATAATCGGGTGACTTGATGGTACATTGTTGATGTGAAATTAACCAAATTAAAACGTGATGCATGTCGTGTGTCATACTGACTGAAAATTTTGGATTTAATCCCGTTAGTTACACATGGCACTTACTACTCAGGCTAATCATTATACATGCTTGGGTACAATGCATACTTAGCTTTCATATTGATGTGCGTGGAATCGTTGATATACACGTACATTGGGTCGACAGATTTCGCACACTGTGATTGGTCAGCGCGTTGCTAACTCCAAAGGCGGCGCACTATTGTGAAACGCCAGTAGGCTATTTATCTTGGGGGATAAATTAAAAACGCTATATACAGGGGACTTATACTGGGAATAATACACTCAACCAAGCAAGGGGGCTTCTTGTTTCTCAATTTTAAGACAATTTCATGCATTTTACATACGGAATCAAAGAAGGCGGAATTTTCTTCTGATCGGGCACATGCAGTGCCAAGTAATTTCCATAATTATACAATATTCGTTATTGGAATATTGGATCGAGAGACGGAACCTACTTACGTAAAAGGCCTGTAGACTTGAGAAATGATTGTTGGCAAATTACCTTGTTATAACAGGAACCTTGTATTTTGAGGAATAAATCAATGAAAAACAAAAGATTGGGGCTTGAAAATGTCCTTGTTACAAGCAGAATCTTGAAACTGCTCTTATTAACGAGGTTCGACTGTATAGACTAAATTCTTTCAGCATTAATAGCTTTAGCTTTTCACAGTTGTCCTTTTAAAGAATTTTAAGTTAGCCTTAGCTTTAGTTAGCCTTGATTATTGTAGTATTTCACTTGCTGTGAAATAGCTTGTACGTGTCCAAATTACTATGAGTTCGATTGTATATAGTTTAGTTGTTTAAATTGTCTGAACTCTCAATCATTCATCCACGACTTTAGCTTCTTAAAGAGTTTAAGTTTCTTCAAGGAAAGCTTTTTCGAATATGTTTTTATAATTGCTGGTGGAAGTGATTAAAACAAGGTTGAAGTTATCCAAACAAGCAATATTCAAGTTTTCACCGTTTAAATCGTTTTTAAATGTTTCTAATCCGCTGGCTATAACAGTATTTAGAACAACTTTCGTCTTGTTTATCGATGCCTCTATAGGTTTTCGGACAATAGTTATTGGTAATGGTCTGATACCGGCATATGTCATCAAATACGATACCGTGCTGAGAATCTGTTTGTCCGATACTGTTTGATACGATATTAAAGTAGCAGTTATAATGAGGCGATTTATAAATCATTCCAACAACATTTTACCCAATGTTCAAGGGATTTCAATGCTTGAAAAGTCCATCGAATTCAAAAGAATCCAGTAGTATATATCGTCACGGGGGAAAGGGTTAAAACGAATTTTAACGTAAATAGAGTCCAACACCGCCACCAGTCCTGTATACGCCGTATTTTTGTTTAAGCTTGAATAATTGGCCTATACAAATCATAAATGTTTATGAGTGCAATGGCATAAAAATGATTTCATGATGAAATATCTGATTCTATGTACTAATTTGTTTTATACAATACCTGCGTAGATCCTCCTCTGTTATAAGAAACGGGTACCATTGAAATAAAACCGCTCAGTTACATTGTGATCAACTTGAACGATCCATCGATCAGATGACGGAGATTTTTTCAGGTATTGTTTTCATTACATGCACAAACTTGTCATCTGATTGGTGGATCGTTGATCAAATGCCATGGGATTATTCGCTCTATTCTTCCCGTTGAATAGATCGATTTTCCCCTGACTGGTTCCCGTCCCCATTAATTTATGTGGGCCTATTTCAGTCTGTTTTCCTACCTCCGTTGTAGCGGGAGAAGAAAACAATGCATAGATGGGAATTAGTCTAAAGGCCTCAGCTGTTAGTACAGGCTAATGCGAAAGCGAAGCGAATTGACGTCACGTAAGATTTGCAGCAAAATTTCGCTCGAGTTGAAATAATTATGTGTTCAGCTTTCAGATTTCGTGCATGTTACCATGGTACGTAGCTTTACACAAGTATGAACCGGCCTTTACGTCGTGTACGACCAGTGGCTGGTGTATTGGACACGAATTTGTTTCGCACTGGTGAACAAATACACAAGGACCACTTGTTCTAAGTAAGAGAAAAGGAACTTTATCGAAACTCGTTGGAGATGCCTGCGCTGGATTGATGCAGGTGTTTTTAGAACCATGGAGGTACGAAAGGACCTCCATGATAGAACAAATAATGAATGTTTATGAGTGCAATTAATAATTAGAATAGACGGTTTCATGAGGTGACACTTAGCAGGAATAGAACATGTCATGCAGACTGGTCTCGTTCCCGTTCTTTCCAGTGCACCTGACTGGCTTCGCTCGTCACCCAGCGCCCAAAGAGGGCGCTGGGAACATAACAAGAAGCAAGATATGGGACGGAGAGCACCCCCACCACGTTTGTGTTGGTCATTGTTTGATTGGAATCTCAGGAATTCTTTACAGACAGCTAGGGGATGTGTTAGGTACCGGTAGCAATAGTCTAGATTGTGTATAGGGATATTACATGTATGTCATGTGTAAGGGGGGTACCCTTCCATCCCATATCTTGTTAGGTATAGCTGGGAAGGGCTGATGGTTTTGCACTGTGATTGGCTACAATATTGTGCGCAACCTGTGACTGCGAGGTGATCACTTCCGGTTGACGAAGCATTATTTAAATTTTGGGGTTTGCCAATGGTAATGCTCAGCATGGCAAAGTGTCTGCTGTGATAAAAACATAGCCTTGGCACAATCACAGTGTGGCAATTTTCTTGTCACTATTATCGTGTCACCGATAATATATTTTGGGCAATATGTATCAACTAATTGATTATCTTGATCAATTTTGGTTATGAACGAATAAAAAGTGTGCCGAGAATATTTTCAGCAGTGAGGACAAAAAAAAAAGAATATTGAATTAATATTCGCTGGTTGTGTAATGCATTGAGCGCGTTCTTGCACCTCGCAGAAATTTACCCACAATGCTCTGCGCATTTAGCTGTGACCCCGTGTGACATATTTCCTTCACTAAAACCTGTTCAAGGCCATCAGCCCTTCCCCTCACCCGAACAGGGTGCTTTGGCTGAACTTATTGCTGCTGACAAGCGAACCGACTGCAGACAAGTGCACAGAACTTCAGAAGTGAAGGGACCACCTTGCTATGCATGTGAAACATGCCCTCGCTTGTTCCTCCTCAGAGTGGATAGCTAGCCTGACTCCTAGGCCTCAGCCTAGGCTCAGGTGCATGGAAATTATGCTTATAATACTTTCAGTGGCGTGATTAAATCATGTTGAATGATTGTGTTTCCAGCTGATGGAGTGACAGGAGTGGTTGAATTCGTACCAACTA